TCTCACACTTGTTTGCCTGATGAAGGGGATCCTGTGAAACCCCGAAACGTTTACAGTGTTCTTCTTGCAACTAGTACGTTAATAAACGCGTACTGAACTTGCTTTGTAGTGCCGGTGTCCATCCTTTACAGGTATAGCGATGACCCCCAAAGGAGCCGCTGGTCATTTTGGCTCCTCCTTCCTTTTTAGCAGTCACCGTCCCCGTTTTTAGCTCCAGCAACACCGACACGTCTTATAGTGAACAGGCTCACGTCGTAGGGTCTTTTTAGCATTCATTGCTCAGTGGTAAAAAACTTAGGAGAAAGGGTTTAGGGTTGCAGGATACTTGAAAGCACGAGTAACAGAGGACATTGTTCCTCTCAAATATTAACAGTAATAGCAACAGGTCCTATGAGAGTGACCAAAAATAATAGATTCTTGAGCAGAGGACAGCCAGGAAAAATCTATCTATGAGATCTATTTTTAAGAGCAGTCACAGAACTTGTAGCGCCTCAACTGGCATCTGTTCCTCTGGGCATGGTACCTGAACAGTAGATCCTTCTTACAATGTCCAGATGGCAGCTCCTCAGCGACACGGTCCAGCAAGAAGAACCTTCTCCAGCTCAGCCTCTATAAAGTATAACGTTCCAGCCATAAGGTAGTCCTCATAGCCCCCAGCACATGGCACATGCTGAGGCCCCGGCCTTGTAATCACATAGTCACACAGACCTCCCCCTAGGGAGAACCCCCAGGGGAAAGAGAGAGAGTTCTGGAATGGTGCTCCCAAGTATTTATCATCTTCTCCAGCCTTACCTCTGAGTCAGCCTGCTCAGGGATTGGTCAGAGTCAGATAAACACTCATAATCTGGTAATTGACCCTCCCTCACTGTATGCTGGAGCCCAACCCAACAACAGGGGGAAGCAATCAATCTACCAGGTTTAGGGATAACCTGCAGAACATAGAACAATTGAGACATAGACTGATTACAAGAACGAGAATCAAGTGACTCTGCGCTAAATAAACTGACATAAAAACTCCTTTGTGTTTGTTTTTCATTCATCTATTAAATGTTGGCATGTGTGTGTATTCCTCCTCCTAGATCCAAAATCACTAATGCAACATAGTTATACAAATGTGAAAACAAAACCTCCACATTCAATGAAATAGTAACAATGCAAAAAAAGAATCAAAACAAATGTCCAATAAAAAGTCTTAGGGGTCTATTCACTAAGGTGCCGTAGGCAGCCGAGTGAACGACCGACCTGAAGCAAAGGCAGCCGAGTGAACGACCGACCTGAAGCGCTGTTCGGCTATTCACTTCAGGCTGGTAGGGCTGATTTCAGCCGTATATCGGGTGGCTTTGTGTGGATCGGCTAAGCCGAACCTCCGGCAGGCTACTTGCTGCTGTTCGGTCTATTCTTATAGATGCCGAACAGCAGTGAGTAAATAGCCAAATGCCGCTGAGCGGCATTTGGCTCGGCTGTTCCGCTCTCTCCCTTTGTGAGACCGAGCAGAACAGAAAAATAGTTAAAAAGTAAAAAAAAATTAATAGAAAACGATTGTGCGGAGCTAGCAGTGACAGCTAGCTCCGCCCAACTGTTTTCTATTGCCGGGCGGTTCTGATGCCGTCAAAATAAACATTTTCGCCATAGGAATGCAGTGCTAGATTCCTATTGGCTATTTCAATTTGCAATAGCCAATTAGCTATTGCACCCGCCCTCGCTGCTGTCAATCACTAGAGGGGACCTAATGGAGAACTGCAGGTCCCCTCTGCTGATTGACAGCAGCAGTGGCCGGGTGCAATAGCTAGTTTGCTATTGGCTATTGCAAATTGAAATAGCCAATAGGAATCCAGCAATGCATTCCTATGGTGAAATTTTTTTTTTTTATTATTCTGACGGCAGCCAACGGCTCCATGTCAGAAAAAAAAATTCAGGGAAAAAAAAAAGCAGGGAAAGTTTTACTCTGCTCGATCGAGCAGAGTAAACCTTTCTTGGAAAAAGTGTTTCTCTCCTGGGCGGCCGGGAGCGGAAAACTCCCGGAGCGCCCAGCAGGCTGTTGGCCGGCCAATGGCCGGTCATTCGGCTTTCAGCGTGGCTCAGTTGAGCCGAGGCATATGCCTTCAGCTCGACTGAGCCGCTCGGCCAACTTCAGGAGCTGTACGGGCTATAGTGACTAGACCGTACAGCAGCCCTTCGGTTCTACTGAACTGAAGGGGTCCTGGGGCCGAAGCTAGCCGAAGCTACGGCTAGATCCTTTGGCTGCTTCATGAATAGACCCCTTAGTGATGGTCTTCAATCTATCCTAGTGGTCAGTATTATATGGCAATCTCCTTGCTCTTCATTGTGATCTTGTAATATAAAATATCTGAAATGTGCACTCACCAGCAGTTTGTGGTCACCTTCTTACGGGCTGACCAAGAATTCCTTAATTACTCCTCTTTTTCATCCGTGGTATATTCGTCCTGGTTGCCGATTGCAAATTATCACAAATCGACTCTATCAGATCCTCTATGATCCTCAGTAGCGATATATCCTCCGTGCGGCTTCCTACATTCCTCTTATTAGAATTGGTCACCGGTGACTCAGGGAAATAGAAAAATAAGATGATAAGAGGAAAGTAGGAAGCCGCACGGAGGATATATCGCTACTAGGTAGCATGGCTGTTAATGCCTAATTGTTATGGGAAAAGCCATAGACAATTAGGCACATAGTTATATTTTGATTTGTCTTCACTGTCACATTATTGCCAAAAACCAAGGGAGTGACAGGCCAAAGCCATAGTTCAGCATAAAGAACAGTATGTATCTATATCATGATGGATTTGCTGTACACTCCACTGACAAGCGAAAAGGAAAACATTTAGGAAGAAAATTGACCATCATGCAGTGATCTTCCCTAATGTTTTTCCTTCCTCTGTTTGGGCCTGACAACAGTGTGCATAGCAAATCCATCAATGTAAAGAGAACTATTTTTCACTATGCTCTTCTACTATGCACTGTGTCTCAGACCCATTCATCCCCAGTCTTATGTCAAAAACATAACAGATTACAAATATGCCCTCATGCTTACAGTAGTCTTCAAACTGCAGATGCATAGCTCAGGACTCAGCAAAAGGTTCTGAGTTATAGTGATAATATAGTTATAGTTGAGCTGACCTAGAATATGCTGGATGAAATAGTTTAAAAATGATCCTTCTAGTCCCCTGTCCCCCTCACACTACAAGTCTTAAATGCTCATTTAGTCTATTTGTATTTGTATTAAGTATTTGAATAAGCAGCAACACATAGCTTATTCCTTACTTTCCTCCTGGCACTCTCTGAATAAGGACACTTACACATGTGTGCAAATACAAGCATATGGCGTGAAATATGCCTGTATTTTCAGTGCCTGGGAACCCCAGCTACTGCATTTTTCTTTTCATAGGATTGAATGGGCAGAAAACACTGTGCATATGTATGCACTAGTACCATGTAAATGCCATGCATATGTAACATGTAAACTCCAGTACCAGTGCATATACCAATGTACAGCATTTTCTGTCCATACAATCCTATGGAAATAAAAACACAGGGCCTGGGGCTTCCAGACACCACAAACACAGACGTATTATACACTGTATGTCTATATATCTGTATATGCGCTCATGTGCAGAGCCTTTACAGGAGCAAGGAATACTCAGGTTTCACCAGAACCTCTGATTGTGCAGATGAATTTGAGTTTTAGGGTACCCCCAGGCTTCTGCTTTCAGGATTATAAGTAGTAAATACGGGTACAGGAAGCATGGGAAGTAACAGTCAGAGGTGGAAAAAAAGCTGGGAACATAAATGGAAGAAGAGTAATGGCTGACTGGAGTGGACTGGAGCTGGGGGTACAGAGGTGAGTAATAAATAAACAAATCTTGGAATAAGTAAAGAGATAGTGAAGATACTGAGTGGAAGTACTAAAGGCAAATGGAAGAAGCTACAAACAAAATATGTGACCAGGGAAAGAACACGAAAGAAGGCAAA